TTCTTTAGAGCATTTGCAGTACATTCGTAAGACAGACGTAAGTGCCGTTATGTACTGAAGCTTTGGAAACAAAACCAATTGTTCAAAAACATAAATATATAAAAATGAAGAGAGCAACTATGCATTTTACTGCCTTCTCCTGCGCCGTCGTTACTAAGCAATGGGGTAAACAGCTGCTGGCTTGATGACGCGAACCACGGTTCGGACCAAATAAAATTATTTGAAAACAGTCCAGTGGGGGCAGAGGGGAGGGGGAAGCAATCGAACTCTGGTTCGGACCAGGCAAGCAAACCAAGTGTGAACGCACCCTAAATGTCTTCACTCTCATTTTTGATCAATTTACTGCAGCCTCGCTGAATCAAAGTATTAATTTATTTTAAAAAAATCTTACTGACTCCAGACTTTTGACTGGTAGTGTATACATTTTTAGGAATTCTAATTAACATTTTAATTTTTTTTTTATATTTAAAAGAAAAAACATTCTTACAGATATGATACCAGCAGCATTGGGGTCTCTCAGCTGATGCACAAGCCCACCACTGTTGGCATCATAAATGTCAATAGTTCTCTTGTCATTGATTAATACTTGATCATCTGGGTAACGACCAGCCACGATGAGGTCATACATAGGATGCCAGGTTGCCTGATGGAAGAAATTTTGCAAAACTAAACTCTAGGACATCAATAGTCCTGCATCTCTGAGATGCCTGTAAACTTGATTACAACATAAACAACATGGGAAAAAAGCCAAGCAAGTGAAACTTGCAGTTTAGGCTAAAGGAACTCTTACCTTGATGGGTGTTAAGTGCTGGAACTGTCGATGAGGATGAACAATTATTTGATGAGGTTTAGACCAGTCATATGAACAATATACCCTGATCTGGTTCCTCTGGTCTGTAGTCAGGAGCTTGGTGCTGTCTGTTGGATTAAAGTAGGCTGAAAGAAAAAGAACATTAATTTCAATTAATTTGCACTGTACAGTTTAGAGACATTTATTACTTCTTCCCCTCCTCAATTTAATAGTCATATATATAGTCTCTTACCAGAATTGACTGGTTTTTCATGAGGCAATTCAGTGATATAACTGCTTTTGTCTTTAATATTTCTGAGGTCCCACAGCTTGACTGTAGCATCAACAGAGGATGTAGCCATCAGCCAATCACAACGAGGGTTGAATTCTGCATGGGTCACTTTGGCTTTGTGCAGTTTCTCTTTGAAAATCTAAATGTTTTTGAAAATACGAATATCGGACAGCTTTATTCTTGATTTTGGCAATGAGAATTGATTTAGATATTCCCTCACTTACCTCATGTCCATCAAGGCCAAACAGAAGTAGTCGTCCAGTATTGTCTCCAGTCACAAGCATCTGACGACTAACAGACACGTCCACACAGCAGTACCAGTAACTGGGAGAGTGACAT